GCATTTGGCTTGTTGTTTGGGGAGCAGCAGGAGATGCTTTCTCTCTGTTCCTTCCCATATCTGGCCTTACTCTGTCTTGGGTCTATCCCAACTTCTTTATAGAGAGACATTGTCTTTTCCTGTGTTGTGCTGTTCAGGGGGTGCCGAGACACTGAAAACTGCCTTTAAGGGTGCTCTCCTGTCATATTGGCAGCCTCACCCTGCCCTCTGTAACATGTGCCTGTGTGACTTGGCCTAGAAGAGCTCAGTTCGGGAGACCAACGATGCAAGAAATACTGCCTGTGTCAAGGCAACTCATCTCCCTAGGAAAGCAGCTGAGGTTAAGGTCTCAGAGAGTCTGGGCATGATTGCTGTCCTGAAGAAATGTAGTTCTGGTCCTAGCTTCTGTTTAGTCTTTTCCAGCCACAAGGTCTGGGCATTGGGCTGCCAGGTGTCCAATGGTACTGTGAACCATTAAGAAGCATAGCTGGACTTTCTTTGGACTGGTATTTCCCAAATAAAGAGTCCAGTGGAGAGTGGGATGCCCTGTTCACCACACACACAACAGCAACAGTGTTGTAATTGGGGAGGGCTGGAGACTCAGATTAGGGAATCCCTGTAGAAAGTGGAGTTCCATACAATGCCTCGAGTCTCCAGTTGAGTTACTAAGGAGAGCAGCTCTCTCCTGCCTGCAGAGCCCAATGCATAAGATAGTTAGGGGAATGGTGGAATAAACCAGATTCAGTCTCTCCAGGAAAAACAAAACAAAACAAAACAAAACAAAACAAAAAACCAAGCTGATGGCGAAGTATATTGCTGTTTCATGGAACTTTCTGTTTTCATTTTTTATCATTTATTTATTTACACGTTTGTACTTACTAATTGTATCTCATGTCAACAGGCTGTTATAATCTTCTTTTTCTGCTCCTGTCCTATATTTCTCTACCACAGTGCATACCTCTAACCTGTAGACTTACCCCCATTTATAATTTGTTTCCTTCTCTTCCCCATTCTCTTCTCCTTTTATCTCTTATTTATATTCTTAGCTCTGAGAAACTACAAACAACACTTTCCCTGAGAAGTACCCAGTACTCTGTCTCTGAAACTTAGCAGGGACAGAAGTGAAAGGCCATGTCTTTCACTACATGGGAAAGGCAGCCAACAGTGTGTCTGCTACTGACATCAGTGGGGACAGGAATGCCAATGGAGACATTCCACCAGAAAGGCTACTTAAACAAAAGAGCAGGAAGAGGGTGTTGGCAAAGGATGTGTTCTCCCCTTTCCTGCCCAAAGAACCCCAAAGAACTAATCAACATCAGTGCCTTATTCTCAGCAATAATTGGTTATGCTCATTGTCTACTGATGCTTGCTAGGAGACAGGAGACTGGAAAGGCCACTATAGGATGAATTAGCTTTGTATAAAAGGTTTCCTCTTGTTGGATTATTGTCCTGTCGTATTTTTTAATTATAAAACTGTTGGCCAATGGCTAGGGCTTCTTATTGATTAGCTCTGTCTTAATTATTAACCCTTTTCTATTAATCTATGTATTTCTACATGGTCTTATCTTACCAGAGAACACCTGGTGTGTCCTTTCTTCCTGGTCCTTACATGGTGACTCTTTTGTGGTCTTCCTCTGCCTCCTTTCCCAGAATTCTCCTTGTCCTAGTCTCACCTATCTTCCTGCCTCATTGGCTAGACAGTGTTTTATTCATCAACTAATAAGAGAAACATACATACAGAAGGACATCCCCCATCAACTTCCTCCTTTAAAACTAGAATTCAGTGACTAGGGATGCATAGTGTAATATGTAGAGTGCTTGCCTATCACTCATGAAGTGCTGGGTGTGATGCTTACCATTGAGTAAAATTGGACATAATGGCACATGACTGTAATCCTGGACCTAATCGGATGCAGGAGGATCAGAAGTTCAAAGTCATCATTTCAATATATTGCATGAGTTTGAGGCCAGGCTGGGCTATATGAGACCAGGTCTCAGAAAAACAAAGAACAATAAAAACAAAAACCAAACCAAACCAACAAACCCAAGACAAAACAAAATAACCCAGAGTTAAGGTTGGGGTACAGCTCAGTGGTAGAGTGCATCCTGAGCATGCTTAGTGAGGCCCTGGGTGTAGTTCCCAATTCTCAATGCTCCCAGAACCCAACAAACCAAACAAAAGTTAGAATTAAAATACTTTTGTAAAGTATTTAGTTTTTCAGCTCTCTTTTTGTTATCCATTTATTAAGAGTGAGCAGGGGGAGGGGCAGAGGAGGACAAAGGTTAGCTGGCACTGCCTTCTGCTGAGTCTGTCAATGGCTTTGATCTCTTCTGCTTCACAGTTTTCTTAGATTATATCGGTTCTCAATCTGTGGGTCATGACTCCTTTAAGGGTTGCACCTCAGAGATCGTGCATATCAGATATTCACATTACAATTCATACATATTGGGTGTTTACATTATGATTCATAACAGTAGCAAAATTACAGTTGTGAAGTAACAATAAAGTAAATTCATGGTTAGGGGGTCATCACAGCATGAGGAACTGTTTTAAAGGGTCGCAGCATTAGGAAGGTTGAAAATCTGTCTTACAAAGTTTGTTCTGCCACAGCAGTGAGTTAGAAGTGACTGGAAGGTCCCAGGCAGAACAACTGAGGACTGAGTAGATGCATTAGTGATGAACGAGAGGGATATTTTTGTCACATGCTCTGAGCAATGATATTTAAAAATGCATTTTTCCTTGAAATTAGCTTTGGGCTGATATGTGACCATTGATGAATGCTGTTGATTTCAGTTAGTGATGTAGTCTGATTCGAAGTCTTTCCCACTGCTTTGGAAACTGAAGATTCCAGCATAACTCATTTCCATGTTTGCCTGCCCACTGGTTCTATAGACTGAATACTGTGATATTCAATGATAACCGGTAGCTAAAAACCGCCCAGAACAGAACGGTGCTTCTATGTCTGACCAGCTCACCACCTTCTGTTACTGTTCTGAAAATGAGACCACTAAAATGTGCCCCATGAGTGAGTGGCTGCCTTGACTTCAGGGCTGCATTGCACATGGAGTGTACACTGCTTTCTGAAACACTTTGAAGGCAGCATCTGTGGGTTAGCATTTCAGCCATAAGATGGCGAGAGTTGTGTTCATGTGGACTCAGATACACAGCTTTTCCTTTTGTTACCTATACAGGCAAAACCACAGCAGGCACAAGGGGGTTTTTTAGAATTGTAGGTATAACTCCTAATACTATTCTCTTGTGCCTGGGTTTATTTTTTATTTTTTAAAACATGCTTACTTTGTATTTATACTGATGTAAATATAGTTATGTATTTTTTCTGGGTAATATAACATCAGTTATTTTTGTTTTGAATTTGCCCAGCTGGTTTTCAGTCTTGCTTTGGCCCAGTATTTCTTCAGTATGTTCCCTTCCCAATGTTTTGGGATGATAATGTAAGTTCTGTGCCATTATATGTTAGAAGTAAGTGATCTGCTTTCTGATTTTGATTTTATAGGGGATTATAGTTAAGAGAATGTGTGAATTTTAGAAGAGACTTTGAACTGAACTTTGAAACATTGTTGAGACTGATAGACTATGAGACACTTGAAGGTGGACTGAATGCATTTTGCATTATGATATGGCTTCAGTTAACTGCAACCCCAGATGGGGTGGCTACAAGAGACAACAGGCTATAACAGGTATGACATGAGAAAAAGGCTCACAATGAAGAAACCTCCCAGCCATGGGGGCCTGAGAACAATGCCTCTGTCACACTCTCTAAGACATACTTTACAGGATGCCAACAGGTGTGACACGAGAACATCAAAGTCTGCCCTATTACTGACCAAGTTTAGCCAACTGCAGATATTGTCATTGTTATAGGACTTAACATGGTGATGATAATGTATATCTCAGAGTTAAGGGATGGAAATGATATTCTTTCCTGTTACACCTTTTGGTTGGCACATACGTTCCATTTTCTTCAGGGTATTTCTTCTTTCTGGGAGTTTCCCAATGGCATTGTGTTGATAGAGTTACTTTAAGCTAATATACAGCTCTAAAGGATGGAACTTTAACCTAATTGTATGGAGCTTTATAAAACAGAGAAAGGTGTTTACTAAGCTGATATAAAAGTTTATAGTAGGTATGAAATTACTCTAATGGTAGAACTAATCATCCGATTGCATGAAAACATGCTGCCACTAGAGGGCGGAGGAGGGGCAAGGAAAGAAGTACATCCCCAATTCAAATTCCCAAACCAAATTCCTGTCATGAACTAAAAATAAAATGAGATCCTAAGCCTCCCCTACTCCCCTTTTCTGTGCAAACAGATATCCTGGTTATTAAAAGCCTTCTGACTCAGATGACCACACATGTTTTAGGATGCATTCTTATCTTTGACATGTACCTTATGTATATTAATGTGTTATTCTTAGAGGAAAAAATCCTGCCAGAGTCAGGGGTGCCTTTTGATTTTATAAAAATAAACGCTGGTGTTTACAACACCCATGATCGTTAACCTTTGGACAGCTTAGAAAGGGGTATGGTTGCCAAATTCCACTATCATTCTCCTAGCCTGTTCTGATTAGGGAATAAGTTACGGCAAGTAGAGCCTGACCCAGAATTTGTGGAATTTTAATCCTCTAGTGGAATCAAAGAGTCTGGATTAATCATCTGACAAATATTTATTGCTATCTTTTCTACCTACTTTTGCCCTGTGCCTTAACAACCCCTTCCATACTTCGTTTCATAACTACAGCTAGAGAAAGAATAAACTCAGAAAATAGATGCTTGTTGGCGGCCGTTTGATTGCTGCCAGTCCTCCCAAGACCCACCTTCATTGTATGGCATCAGCCCCACACATGCTCGTCTTCATTTTGAGCTCATTTATGGGTGTAGAAATGAGAGGGAAACCCCGCTCATTCTG